AATGCGGGGTAACTGTCTAGCGAGGCACCACTGTACTTCCTTTGTCAATTGAAGAGATAAAGCAAACCCTAATAACGATCACAAGAAGCGCCCCATGCTGTTAATCTCTCGAGCAGCAGGAAGACCTTTGACAAGTACTGCTTTCCTATCCCTGACAATCTCAGCTTTTAAGATCAATTACAAACTCAGGAGCAACCCTATGCCTGAAAACTGAAACAAGATACAACCAATAGGCACGCAGATCCTGAGCTGCCCCCTAAGCTCAAACCCTGAGTTGCAAAAGAGTAGCTCCTCTCCATCCAATTCTTTTCTCCTTCTTCTGTACCAAGTGGACGTGATCTCCTGTTCTGTACAAAGTACATTAGCTTCCCGCCTGGGGGGGGGAAACCATCTTTCAATGCCTCTTTGTGAAGACAAGACGCTTTCGAATAAAGCCCGGGAGACGCAACGGTAGCGTAGCCCATTCAGGGAGCCCATCTTTCAACGTCACCTGCACTTCTCCTTCTAATCATCAGCAGGAACGGCGACAGCCACTTCCCGCTCTGCATTGTAAAAGGAAGAGTTTCACCATAAACACACACACAAAACACCATGCAACGTTTCTTAACACAGCCACCATATCCGTAAGAATAAACGAGGACCCACCATTCATCCCGTTGTAGAGACCCCTGTGATGAGGTGATAGGTCATCCGCAACTGGTCTCCTTAAGGTTCCTTCTCTGCTGCCGCCGCCCAAGTGTTTAAGATGCTCGGGGCTTCCCCCATAGTGCTGTTTGAGGTGCTCAGAACTGGTGGCCCTCCCTTTGGGGAGATGTTCTGCGCTTCCACTCAAACCATGCTTCTGCAGAAGCTCCGGACTCCCGCCGCTGCCACCGTGTTTCTGGTGTTCCGGACTGCTCCCAGCCCGGTGTTTCTGGAAATGTTCTGGGCTCCCGCTCAGCATGTGTTTCGGCAGGGTTTCCGGACTGCCACAGCTAAGCTTCTGCTGATCTGGGGTGCCTTTGCTGTGGGTTTTGTGGTGCTCTGGACTTGGCCCTTTGAGGTGCTTCTGGTGGTCAGGACTTCCAGAACTCCGGGGTTTGTGGAGGTGTTCTGGACTGGCGCTCCTGTGCTTTTGATGCTCAGGGCTTCCCTCATTCCTCGTTTTCTGGAGGTGCTCCGGACTGGAGCTTGGATGGTGCTTGTGATGGTCGGGGCTGTCTGTACTTCCGGTGCTGGAGGTGCTGCTCCCGTCTCCCACATCCCTTATGAAAGTGCTGGCAGCGCTTAACTGGCAGAGACTAGCTTGGCTGTCGATCGAGTTCCGGCAGCCAGCGACGCCAGTCTTCTCTTCGTCCAGCAAGACGCAAAGCTCCTTCAGCTCCAGGTTCTCCTTCACCACCTCTTCCTGCCTCACTTCCAGCTCCTTCAGCTTCTGCAAATATAAGGCCACCTCTTTGTGCATGACACCAGCACTATACCTGCCGAGCCTCTGCCACTCTCGAGAGACTTTTTTGCCCTTCTGGCGATCGTCGTCCAGGAAGCAGCAAAGGTCCCGCAGCTCCTGGTTGTCCTCCTGAAGCTTCTGGTTGATGTCCTTCAAAAGAGAAAGACAAAGAACAATATATTGCCAAGGTTTCATCATTTCCCTTCTGGCAACTGCACATTCTTCCAGAACAACCTGCAATTTTTTTCATCTAGCCCAGGGGTCTCAAACTGTGGCCCTCCAGATGTTCTTAGCCTGCAGCTCCCAGAAGCCTTCAACAAAGAACAATATATTGCCAAGGCTTCATCATTTCCCTTCTGTGAACCGCACATTCTTCCAGAACAACCTGAAATTTTTGCCATCTAGCCCTTGAGTAACCCAAGTGTTCTTGGACGGCAAATCCCAGAAGCCTTCACCACCAGCTCTGCTGCCCAGGGTTTCTGGGAGCTGTAGTTCAAGGACACCTGAATTACCCAAGGTTGGGAACCACTGCTTGAAAAAGCCGTTTCTGGAAACAGGACGTGACCCCAGATTCCAGGAAGAGTGACTTCCATCAAGGTGAGAAAATCCAGGGTGACGTGAGTTTAGGAGTCAGGGAGGCTGCGCTAGAGGTAGCACCCGGCCACACAACACCCTTTGCCCACCCCGACCTAGGCATTACTTTAAAACTGTGACAGGGAAGGCGGCATACACACAGGGCCAGTTCTGAACAGCTGGGAATTCACAAACAGGTTCTTCTAAATCTCATCTAACCCCAAATCCATTCTGCTGCCACCCTTCTTCCCGATCTTTCCCCCTCTTTCTTCCTTCACAAATTCTCAACTTTTGCCATCCTCCAGCCTTCAGGAAAATAGACAAACTTGCCTGCCAGCTGGCCACAAAGCACCACAGATGATACACAACCCATATGCACAACAGATGGCATAAGCTTTGACACAGAAGGCCGTTTTCTAAACAAACAAGAACACGGAACAGAGTATTAAAATTTCAGCCAAAAAAAGAGAGAGTCATCCTGATATATACATAACAGCTCAAAAGTTTGCTTTGTCAATAAAATTTGCTCCTGTTTCACATGACAATGTTTGACATGTGACCTAGCAATTGACCCAAAGTTAATCATTATTTGGCTTGTTCTGTTTGTTACTTTTCCATTACTTTCCACTAGTCATTTTACACTAAACAACTCAAAATGAAGAGGGCAGGAAACGTCTTGATGTTCTGCCAACATGCCTCTAAAAATGGCATAAGATATACCTTCATGGTAATTATTGAAATTAACAGGAAGATGCTACTTATTATGCTAATGAAGTAACTTTGAAACAACATGTTGCACTACTTTTGAAATGTAACAAGTTACAAGTTATTTACTGCTTTAACTATGGGTGTATTCAGACGGCCTGTTTCACTTGCTGCAGAGCCCAGCTGGTTTGCTCCCTTTTAGGGTCATGAGACAATGTAGTTCCTGCAGTAAACCATCCCATTCTCGCCCCTTCCTGTACCAAAAATCCCCTGACAGTGACCCATCTATGCAAACCTTCCTGAGTCTCTGATCAGGGGGCTTTTTGGTGAAGGAAGGATTGTTTTGGTTCATTTCCAATGCATGTAATTCCTGAGATCAAACAAAAGCAAGCTTCCTTCTTTAATTTCACAGCTGATTTCATTACCTCCATATTGTTAGTGGTTTAAACAGATCTCCTAACCACTTAATGATATGGGGAAATTGAAAAATTATACTGGGAAATTAAAAACCTCCTTCGTCTGCTCATCCATGAAGCAGAGGGAGAAAGCAAACCAAAATTGTAAACTAATTAGGATAGTGCTGATGTACTACTTAAGAGTTTTTTTTAAAAAAAAAATTGGCATCATTCTCCAGGAAGCAGGAAGAAACAAGCAGCAAAGACAGAGGTTGGTTTGGTGTTTTTTTTTTTACCTTGTCTTTGCTTTTTTAAAGCAACTGGACCAAATAGGGTGGTTGGGGTGCATATGCCGTTTAGACGCAAGGATCACTCCATAGGACATTCCAGACTTCTACCCAACTTTAAGCAACCTTATTTAGCCTGACCCAATCCATTCCAACTGAGCCCATATTGACAAGCCCTCAGTGACATTACTTCCCAACTATGATCCACTGACCTAAAATCCAGCTAGTCATCTCGGCTAGAATACATCCCCTGAATCAACTGCTGAATAAGGCAACATATATGTAAAACCTGTTGATTCAGCAGGTCTACTCTGATGGGGACTCACAATTAGATGCAGGCTATTGTAAAGAACTATTGTTTACAGAGGCCACTTTTGAGGTTTTTTGTTTGTTTGGGGTTTGTTTTTGTTTTTGTTTGTTTTGGGTTTTTTTGCTTGGAAAACCCTCAAAAGGGGTGCTATACGTCAAAACCGACTTGGCGGCATGCAATTATTCAAAGAAATATTATTATTTTTCTCTACCATGTTTGTTGTGAAAGGTTATTGTACAGAAGACTCTTCTGCTTACGTATTGCTGCAGAAATCACAAGCTGGAGCATTGCTACATAAGTATGTTTACTTTCCAGAATGCAACCCAGGAAAAAAGTACTTTTTTAAAAAAAATCTGTATTAGCTACTCCATCCATACAACTTCCAAAAATGTAGCCTTTTTTGCAGCCATCTATTTTGAACCACACAGGCTTTGCACAGTTAGTACAAAGATTCCACTCACAGACCAGGGAAAAACTTTCTGAAGCAATTAGAAGGAATGATCATGCGCCAACCCAGCTTTAACCCAACCATCTAAGTCTGCTACTACCGCTTGTAAAGGTTTTTCAGTCTTCCTCACAAAATAGACACAAGCAATCTTCTTTCCTACCACAGGTTTAAATAAACCTTGTGTTATCTACCTACCTCCTCCCCCCCTCCCCTGCCCTGTACAAAGATAGATTATAAGGAGACCCATCAGAAGAAACTGGGGCTAAGCCTCTTTCTTCTAATGCAACAAGATTGAACCTTGCTAGGCTTCCAGAGTGAAAGAGAGAGAACAACCCTACAGTGATGCCTCGCTTAACTATTACCTCGTTAAACGATGAATCCGCTTGACGATGAGGTTTATGCAATCGCTTTTGCAATTGCAAAACGATGTTTTAATGGGCAAAATTTGCTTCCCGACAATCAGTTCCCTGCTTCGGGAACCAATTCTTCGCATTACGATGATCAAAACAGCTGATCGTCGGGTTTCAAAATAGCCACCCGCTGTGTAAAATGGCTCCCCGCTGTGCTTTAGGATGGATTTTTCACTGCACAGGCATTGGAAAATGGCCACCCTATGGAGGATCTTCACTGGACGCTGAGGTATTTAGCCCACTGGAACGCACTGAGCGGTTTTCAAAGGGTTTCAGTGGGCTTTTTTATTTCGCTTGACGAGGATTTCGCTCTACAGCAATTTTGCTGGAACGGATTATCCTCGTCAAGCGAGGCACCACTGTATTTCCTTCAGTATCGGTCATGTGAACTGTCAGATATGAGCAGCTTCCTAGTCATGCTGCCTAGCTGCAACCCTTTCCAGCAGGAATGGCAACATCAATGGTTTTCAACCTTCATTCCAGCTTTATTAACACCAGGGAGCAAATGAAAGAAACCACAGAAACAAACTATGGAGTGGCCAAAGAGCCCAAAAAACCCACAACCCAGAACACAGCCAAAGAGCCCGAAAAACCCACAACAACCATCAGATCCCGGCCATGAAAGCCTTCGAGAATACATCAAACTATGGAGTCTTTCCTTGACTTGGTGGGAGAGCAATAAATTGGAGAAGTAGCAGGATCTGAGAGAGAACATGACAAACATTTCATTTTAGCAAAATAGGATCCCTAAACTGACCGGGTTTTTTTGAATTTGTGGTTCAGTTCGTGTAGCCAAAACGATAATTTAGGATATCAGGTATCTAGAAGCTGAGTCGTGGCAACTGGACTTCTTTCGTAATAGGGTGAAACATTTCACTACCCCTCCAAGTAGCTTCGAAACGTTTCAGCCTAATAAGAAAGAAGTCCAGTTGCCACGACTCAACTTCCAGATAACCTGACAGATATACTGTATAGGATATCAGGCTGCTCTATATGTTGTCTGGTTTATTTTCTTTTTCATTCTTGTTGAGATATGGAAACAGAGGAACACCGTCGTGAACACAAAACCATATATCCCCAAAAAGGCACAAAGCACAGGGTGGGTACCAAACTGCGTACCCTTATTTAGGCACAAATAAAACCGGAGGGGGGGGTTGGTTCCCACCCTTAGTTTCCCTTATCTTGATAGTTATCACAGGTTCCCTCCAGCTGATGCTGTTTGCATTTGGGGGACAATAAATAAACAAACCTGTTAGCTCAAAGCAAAGGGGAATTTTAAGCTGAAAAATACCTAACAGATGGGGGGGATGAGAGAGGGGTTCAACAGCCTCTCCTTACCTGCCTTTCTTCTATTCTGAAAAATACCTCTGGCCACCATTTCACATGAATGCAGGTCTCAACAGCCTCCCCTTTTTTACTGCCAGGTCAACTGAGTGCATCATTTCAGAGTTTTATAGCCAGCCTCTGTCAACTGGATCAATAGCCAGTTCAGGCTATCAATATTATCACCCAGAAAGGGACGGGTGAAGTAGGGTCCCCCCCTCCGACTCTATTTACAGTAGGATAAACTACAGACTGACTGTCTCTCTCTCTCTCTCTCTCTCTCTCTCTCTCTCTCTCTCTCTCTCTCACACACACACACACACACAGAGAGAGAGAGAGAGAGAGAGAGAGAGAGAGAGAGAGAGAGAGAGAGAGAGAGATCCTAATATGTACTTGGAAAAGTCAATTGGGGACTACAATGCCCAGAATCCCCATGATGAATGGGGTTTCGGGGAGTTGTTGCAAATAACTTAGCAATCCACCAAATATTTGCTAAGCAACAGGAAGCACCCTTTTTTTCTTTCATTCATTTTTTTTCTTTCTTTCTTTCTTTTCTTTCTTTCTTTCTTTCTTTCTTTCTTTCTTTCTTTCTTCATAGAAAACTTGAGGAGAAATCTGGAGAAAATCATGTAAGAAACACATAGGTGGGAGATGATGCTCCAGTGGGATGACTAAGTACAAGCTTTTCCAGAGGAAATGGGCCAGGATAATATAATGCACGCAGCATTAAAGGTCCAAAGCAGCATGGAAAATAATGCACTTCTTTCTAAATGGAAAATAAAGATCATAGCCCATTATAAATTAATATATCGGACAGCAGGACTGTGACACCCACTACACTCTGCATTCAAAGGGGTTGAAGCCCCTGCTGGCCATTCACATGAAAACCAGGGGAGTTGTCCACCTCAGCATGGAGGACACCAGAAGTCATAGTCTCACTGCCCATGAAGCTCTACAAAGGGCGCCTCCTGAAGAACGATGACTTCCAGGAAGAACCATGACAACTTTTTGTTTTTTATTGAGAGGAAACAAAGGCCAGAGAAGCCAATGGTGGGAGTGCAGCAATGTTGCAGTTAAGCCCTTCTGCTGCAGATTTGTGTTTGGACGCTGCAGCTCCCAGAATTCTGCCTGAGAAATTCATGAGAGAATTCTGGGAGTTGTAGTCCAAAAACATTTTTAAAAGACACCCTAATTATAAAAAAAATACAGTATGATCCCCATATCCGCTGCATTGGTATCTGTGGTTTCACTTATCCGCAATCTGAAAATATTTAAAATGTTTTTTAAAAAAAAACTAGAAATACGTATTTTCACAATGCATTTACTAGAGGTGGCCACTAGAGGCGACCAGAGACCATGTTGTGTGTTTTTGTTGTTGAAGAATACATAGCATGGTCTCTGACGTCCTCTCGCGGCTAGTGCTGGTAAATACGTTGTGAAAATAAATATTTCTAGGTTTTTCTTTTACCTTGCTATGTATAGCATTCGCTATTGTCCGCAGTTTTTAGCACCCATGGGGGCCTGGGGCCAATCTTCCGTGGGTAAGGGCAGTGGTCACCAACCGTGGGCCTCCAGATGTTCTTGGACTACAACTCCCAGAAGCCTTCACCACCACCTCTGCTGGCCAGGATTTCTGGGAAGTGAAGTCCAAGAACATCTGGAGGCCCAAGGTTGGGGACCAGTGGGTAAGGGGATCTTTCTGTATGTCACATGATCAGACCTTGACATCTCCATCTTGAAGCCCTGGAAAGTGATCACCAACCACAATTCTTGGCCAGAAATGCAACCAAACACTCTCCCAACTCACAAGGAGGTTGTGATGATACAGCCCAGAGAGAGGAGGATTGCTATGAAGATCACTGGAGGGAAAGCATAAGCATAAAAGAACAACCAACGAATAAAAATAATATACAAGCAGGAGGTCCCTTTGTTGCTAGTTTGCAGTAACCCTCCCACATTTTAATGCATTCAGCTCTTTGTGCTTGGCACCAAACTTCACATCCCTCAAACTTTTGCTTGCTTGCTTATAATTTATTTTCCTAACACTCTGACCTGCCTGATTCAACACGGGCACCAAAGGGGGGACAGAGAACAGCTCTCTGCCCTGAGGAGCTTACAAGCAAAGCCTGACAGTGGGAAAGTTAATCAAGCTCTAGGAGAGAAGACAAATTAGCCATCAACAACCACCAACATCATTCAATGCATTGACCAAAGGCTGTGTCAGTGTCCAGTGTGTGGATTTGTGAGTCTGGACTCCAATTCTCAGGACCTTCCAGACTGCTGGAATTGCTGGAGTCAAAAACTATAACTGCATGAATCAATTGAATGCAGGTTACTTGTGACAAACAGGTCCCATTCATTTCAACTGATCTACACCAGTTGATTCTACCCTTAAATTCAGCCCAGTATTGGCAGTGGGTTCATTTAGAAGTATTACAGACGTGTCTTCTGTCAAACTAAATGAGAAATCCAGGAGCAGAGAGGAAGTAAGGTTTTTGGTGTTTCTACATGTCCAAAAAAGTAATTTTTGCAAACTCTGGGAGGGATCTTTATGAATTGTTTTATTTCAATACTGTTAATTCTGATTTTTATTCATAGACCTTTACTTTGCTCTGACAAAAACGTGCATTCCAAGATGCAAAGACATAAATAACTGCAACCAAGAAATAAACGCCGTCTATGTCCCGTTCCACTGTCTTATAAAAGATTTTTTTCTCGCAGGGGTTCAACCTTGCAGCCGGTCCCAGAACAAAATAACACTGATAGATGCACGGTTCTCAAGATAGATGCATAGTGAGAGAACAAAACTAAATCGTCGTCATCATCTTAGAACTGCAAAGCTGAAAGGGACCCCATGGATGATCACTGAGTCCAGCTCCTGTGAAGGAGGCACACGGAGGAGCAAAACTCCCAAACTCTGGCAGATATTTAACCCACTGGTGCTTTTTTCCAGCATCTGTAAAATAAGTCCTCGAGGGCCGGCCCAGTGTTTTAGTCTTCACGGGGGGGGGGGACCTGTGAGCCTCCCAGGGAAACCATTGGAATTTCCAAATTCTAGTCAGTGGAGAAGGATGATGGGAGTTGGAGTAGAAAAAACAATTGGAGGTCTGCTTTGCACACCCCCAAACATTTGCCTTGCACTGCACCTTCTATCAAAGCAGGGTATCTCAGGGTGTTTACAGGTGGCTTGTGACTTCAAGCATCCTAAAAAGGGGAAGCTGAAGGTTTGGGGACCGGGGGCCAAAGAAAGGCGCATGGCAAAAGGGAAAAGATTTCATCCTGAGTTCTCACTGACACCTCACCGTAGGAACAGGCATAGAAAGCTGCTTGGTAGGGTGTCAGAACCACCTGGAGTAGCTGGCCCAGTGCTTCTCAAACTGGGATCCCCAGATGTTCTTGGACTGCAATTCCCAGGAGGCTTCACCCCTTGCTGTGCCGGCCAGGATTTCTGGGAGTTGCAGCCCAAGAACATCTGGGGAGTCAAGTCTGAGAACCACTGATCTAGCCTACTGCTCTCAACTCTACGTGTCAGTGGCTCTCCAGCAGATTCTCTTCTATCACTTCTTCGAAACCCGAACTAATCTGACTTCACTCAGCTTCACTTCTGAAAGCAGACAAAATCAGATACAGTGGTACGCGTTAGTCAAAACATGGGTATTCCCCAATGGGAAACAAGGGAGGTTTCAGCTGGCTGGATAGCTCAGTGAGTTAGGTATCGGACTGTGGTGCCCCGTGTTTGGAAGTTTGAGTCCCCGCTGGGCTTCCTAGGCGAGAAGCCAGCCTGTGCAACCTTGAGCAAGCGGCACAGACCAAGGATGTCCCCAGAAGAAGGGAAAGGTGAATCACTTCTGAGTACTCTCTATCTAGGAAATCCTGAAAGAGGTTGCCATAAGTCAGAGTTGACCTGATGGGACATCATGATCATGGTGATGATGAACAGATGAAAGGGTAGGAAAGAGAAGCCTCTCAGGAGGATGGGGCTCAATCCGCCAGCAATAGTGGATCCACCATGGGGCTCAATCCACCAACAACTCCAGGCCAAATGAACAGCAGCAGCCCTGGAGGGCTAGATTGGGTGTTTCAAGTGGACCTGCTCCAGCAGAACTTACAGGTAGACCTCCACGCTCCAAGGGAGCTCACCTGAGACCGACATCTCGACTGGACTGGCCGCCTCAGGGCAGCACCATGTCTTCCATCACCACCGGAGCAGCGCTCAAAGTTGTCAGTTGGCTGTGGTTTGGATCACACCCCCAAGAAGGACAGCCAACATAACCCCTCCCCTATTCTGGGAGCTGTAGTGCATATTGGGGACCAAATTCTGGGAATCCGAGGCCAAGGTGGCCTTTATAGCTGTGGGAAGGGGGGGGGGTCCCCAGAGCTGTAACTCAAGTTGGCCATACCGGTGGAGGGGATTAGGGGCACCAAACTCCCAGTAGGGTCATGCAGAGGGGTGTGGGTGGATTCTGGGTGTTGTGGTCCCATGCTGGGCACAACATTAAAAAAAATACTTTCCCTCGGTCTCAAGGGAAAGCACCGGTTGGCCAACACTTGGAAGGC